TATATATATATATATATATATATATATATATCCTGCACCTCCACTTGCATGCACAGAACATTATCAAACAATAAAAAGGGATATTCATTCCACAGGAAACAAGTATTCAACATGTGCTAGTAGTTTAAATTTCTTTTTAGGTTGGGCTTTTGCTCATCTTCTGAGTGATGGTAAGTATGGTCGAGAGATATTTTTTTACCTAGATACTTTTCTACTACAGTATTAGTTAAGCATTTGCACTGTTCTAATAACAAGCTTCTCATTTAACTTCTTCACTAATTAGTCTTTACATAGCATTCAGCTATATAAATCAGATAAATTAGTCAAAAGGTAGAATAAGAAGGCGATTTCTAAATATTCCAACATGTTAAAGTATTGCGTCAAACAACTAAAAAATTACCCTTAATAATTGCTTCAATACCATTATATGACATATTAGGTGAACATCTTTAGGTATACAATTTCACGTAGTTGATCCATCTCACCCCAACTATCATCATAGCGATCTTTACTCCAATTGGAGTACTTTAAGTCCCTTTTCCAAGACCAAAAGGGTAGGTACCACATAAGAGAGTTTGTCAAGATGGTGACTTTCTTAAGACAAGAAGTACATAAAATGTAAGTAGAAAATACCCTATAAAAGAAAGATTCCTAAGAAAAAAATTTACATTCCGAGACCACTACAATCACAAAGTACTTAACATGAAAAAGGTAAATAGATGCAAAAAACAATTATAAACCTGAAAAACCATTTATATCATAACTTGTTATCATAAAGTTAGACAAATCGTAGAACTACTCTAATGAAAATACAGGATGAAAACAAATGGCATAAACTAGTAATATATTTCTTTAACACAAATATAAAAATAGAGATATGATGTTCACCGACGTTGCCAACAGAAGTCAATAATGTACCTTTTGAGTTGTTGTATGAGGACCAAAAAATTGTGAAAATCTGTTGAAAAAGAAATACAACAAAATATTGTCAATGGTTTCAGGCATATGATCAAGGTAATAAAAACTTGCACATACCCGACGTTTACATCAAACTGCACTATTTATCATGATTGAATTATAAATTAAGGTAAAAATGCGTATCAAATAGCTAAGGTTGCACAGTACGACTGTACTAAAAGTCATTTACTCATTTATATGAACCTCATATTGCACAAGTACATAAAAAAGGTATAAAAACATATACAAAGGAAACAACCAATACCATGAAGAAAGTCCTACAGCATATCTCAATGCGTTAATAAAGTTATAGTTGTAGGTACCAAAAGAAATACAAATTGTGATGTTGGTAAACAGATTTATCATATTTCCAACAAAACTTAATTAAAAACATAGAAAAACAAAACTCTAAGAGAATGACAGCAAAATAGAAAAGTTGAACAAAATCAATTGATTTAAGCATATAACCGAAGGCCCTCGGTGCATCAGTTTGCAAATATGATAATAGTTACCACCACATATGTGAAAATCTAGCACCACGCATATGATAATCCAGCAGGAAAATGTCCAAGCGAACAGAGAAGCCACCAGATGGCAGATACTCACCACATGGTGCAATTAGAAAAACTCCTTCATAAATTCCAGGAAAAATATTAAAACCAAAATATTGCACTTTATAACTTCACGGTTACATCTTGTTTCTCATTTCTTTTTTGTTTAACTAGCCAATACAAAAGAGCCTAAAGTGTGAAGGTAAGATTTCTCTCAACCTTCTTATTGAAGCATAAAAACTAGAAAATCAAGCTTGTTCCACGATACAGTAAAATGGTGCTAAATTATGCAAAATACCGAGAAAATTAAACCAAAAAACCAGCAATATCATGGTACCAGAAGCTGAACGTAGGTACAAAAATTAGTGACAGGGCAAAACTTGATAAAAATTCTTTTTTTAGTAAACCCACGGAAAAACCCAGAACTCTTACAGAATATTACTTTCGCTCGACAATTTCTTAGAATGCATTTTTTCAAAATGAAACCAAACTTGGTAAAGTATCTGAATATAAGTGGAAAATATCTGCTTGATGATTAGAAAAGCCATAGAGAACTACAATATTATTAAAAAAAAAAAGAAGGAAAAATCACTAAAAGAACAACAATCCAGTCCGTATCTAAAAACTTTCTAAAGTTGCAATTCCGATACAACAATCCAGTCATATCCAAAAAAAAAAAAAAAAAAAAAAAAAAAAAAAAAAAAAAAAAAAAATTCAAGTTTGCAAGTCCGATACAACAATCCATCCATATCCACCCCTTTGCCCTTTTTTAGTGACAGTGGTGTCATTTTCGAACCCCTTAATTTATCACGGTCTACAAGCAACCGCTACTCTATATACATCTATTTGTGATTGTTGGCCCAAGTAAAGCTTAGTTTTGAAGACTGATAAAGGAACTCAGTCACGAACCAGGTACATCCTACTGGGGTACATATATGGATAGACTTAAGCATGTGAGATGCACGTAAAGGAGATAAACTTAACTTGAAAGAAGTAATATCTCCTGATCATGATCGAAAAGGTTGCATATTGGATAAGGAGAATGACTCCTTACTCAAAGAGAACACGGTTTAAGAGAATGATGGAGTTAGAGGTTGAGATCAACTAGAACTCTTCCACCAAGGAAGAGTAGCATCAGAATTCTAGTCAATCTCTATTTACTAACTCTATAAATATCAGTGTTGTTCTCTTTTATAGGTAATGCACATAAGTAGAAGTTAAACGTGAATTGAGAGCAAAATAGCAAGGCAATTTTGCAAGCAATTTGTGTGTGATTCAAGCGTGCAAACCTGAAGCTACATGAACCAGATTGAAGAATCAACTTCATAAAGAGTTTTATGTGTCTTTCTTTTATTTCTAGTTCAATTGTAGTAGGTGTTTTCATATTGTACCTTTCAGCTTTATCTAGAAGCAACTGTATTAGGTACTCAGAGTTTTCAAGTTAGAGTTAACTTGAAGTTGTCGCAACAGTTCAGGCTGCGTGCTACAACGGGATTAGAGTTAGTCCTAGGTTTACAAAAAAGTTTTTATAAATGTAGTTTTTGGCTCAGTGATTTTAGTGGAGAGTTTGGAAAAATCCTACTGGAAAGTAGGTCGTGGGTTTTCACCTTTTGAGCCAGGTGTTTTCCACGTAAAATCTTTGTGTTCTTTAATTTCTATACTTATTATTCTGCAATAGTAGCAGTTGAAACACATAGAAGAACCAGGTCCTTCTATAATCAGGTTAAGCGAAAAATTGGACACCACACAAATCACTCCCCCTTGTGTGGTATTGAAGTATAAAACATCAATTGGTATCAGAGCAGGTTATCCTTTAAGAGGCTAACACCTTATGAACATATCAAGATGAGTGCGCCACCTGGAAACTAGGAAGGATAATCCACTGTTAGGCCTCCACTCTTCAATGGCCAGTACTACTTCTGGTGGAAAAACAGGATGAGAGATCACATCATCGGAGATGATTATGAACTATGGGACATTGTTACTGATGGTCCCTTGGCTACCATGAAGAAGAATGCTGAAGGAGTGGATGTGCCAAAGACTAGAGCTGACAACAATGCCGAGGACTTGAAGAAGTGGGAAAAAATGCTAAGGCCAAGAAATGGCTTGTGTGTGAACTTGTTCCAGACGAGTGCAACAGAATTCAAAGCTGTACTACTGCTAAGGAAATTTGGGACACTTTGCAAGTGGCTCACGAAGGAACTCCTCAAGTAAAAAGATCAAAAGGAACACTAATGTACTCTCTATATGAGAATTTCACCCCGAAGGAAGGAGAAACCATCCAAGAGATGTATACAAGGTTCACAACATTAACAAATGAACTTAAGTCTCTTAGAAGAATTATCCTTGAAGAAGACAAGGTTGAGAAAATTTTGACAAGGGTTTTGCCAGTTACTTGGGAAAGCAAAATCACTGCTATTCAGGAATCAAAGAACATTGTCACTCCCAAGTTGGACGAGCTAACTGGAGATCTCATTGCCTATGAACTTAGAAGGAAAACCATGAATATGGAGGCACCCAAGAAGGAATGGATCC